CTATCTGCTTGGAGAGAGTTCTCATTGGAAAGATCATGAAGATAAGAAGTCTTTTGTTTCTCAGTCTGTTAGTCCGGTTATGCTTTGGCATAATCGATTAGGTCATTTTATCCTTTCGGTCTTTGAAGAGTTTGTTTCCTAATTTGTTTGAGTCTGTTCAGATGTCAAATTTGAGATGTGAGAGTTGTGAGCTTGTAAAGCATTGTAGAACATCTTATTCCTTGAGTAATAAAAGTAGTAATTCTTTTAATGTTGTGCACACTGATGTTTGGGGCCTGTATCACATCCCTTCTATGGGGGGGTACAAATATTTCTTGTTGTTTGTTGATGACTATACCCGTTTTTCTTGGGTTTACCTTATGCGTTCTCGAGATGAGGTCCCTGCTCTGACCCAGACCTTTCATTAGATGATTTTAACCCAGTTTGGGGTCAAAATCAAAATCCTCAGATCTGATAATGCGAAAGAATACTTTACCAAGCCACTGGCTTCTTATCTACTTGATCATGGGATTATTCACCAGAGTACTTGTCCTTATACACCACAGCAGAATGGGGATGCCGAGAGGAAGAATAGGCACATATTGGAGGTGGCTAGAAACATTATGTTTACCTCCAATGTGCCTATCCGTTTTTGGGGCGATGCTATTCTTACAGTAGTGTATCTCATTAATCGAGTTCCTTCACGAGTTCTTGACTTGAAGCCTCCGTTTACCCTTCTATACCCCGATGAAGAATTATTTACTGTTCCCCTTAAAACCTTTGGTTGCACTTGCTTTGTTCAGATTCTTGGACCTCATCGTTCCAAATTTGACCCTAAGGCCTTCAAATGCATTTTTCTCGGTTATGCACAAACTCAAAAGGGTTATTGCTGCTATGAACCTACTTCTGGGAGGAGATTTGTCTCGATGGATGTTACTTTCTTTGAGGAGGTACCCTATTACCCTAGGGTTTCTCCTCAGGGGGAGAGTAGTGAGAATGGGGTAACTCATCAGAAGTTCCTCTACCCATTCCATTGAGTGATGAGGGATGTAATGGGGAGGGTTGTCAGAGGTATCAGGAGTTGAAAGTCTATCACAGGCGGTGGAGGCAGGTTGATTTTGGTCATCAGCAGTCCAGGCCAGCCCCAGTTCCTTCTGCGGATCCAGATTCAGGTACTATAGTCCTTTTATCAGATCCAGGTCCCACTGAGATACCTTCCACTGTTGCTACTTTACCTTCTTTGGATGACCTTGACCTCCCTATTGCAGTTCGTAAAGGGAAACGACATTGCACCACATCCACAACTCACTGCATTTCCCAGTTTCTGTCCTATGATCGCCTGTCTCCCTTTTACAAGTCCTTTCTCACATTCATTGTTGATATTCCTATTCCCAGAATAGTGCAGGAAGCCTTGTCAGTTCGCGAGTGGAAAGATTTAATGAAGGTTGAAATGGATGCCCTTCTGAGGAATAATACTTGGGAGTTAGTTGACCAGCCCAAAGGAAAGAAACTAATTGGATGTAGATGGGTATTTACCGTGAAACATAATGCTGATGGTTCCATTGAAAGGTATAAAGCCCGATTAGTTGCAAAAGGATTTACTCAAACTTATGGTATAGACTACTTGGAGACTTTTGCTCCAGTGGCAAAGATGACCACTATTCTAGTTCTGTTAGCCCTTGCAACCAGTTATTCTTGGCCCTTGTTCCGGATGGATGTTAAAAATGCCTTTCTAAATGGAGACTTACAGGAAGAAGTCTACATGCAATTACCTCCTGGATTTTATGATGCAGAGACAGGTAAGAAGGTTTGTCGGCTGAATAAAGCCTTGTTCAGCTATGTACAGTTCCAGTCAGACCATACTTTGTTCATTAAAAGAGTGGATTCTTCTTTGACCTTGCTTGCTGTATATGTGGATGATATTGTGGTGACAGGGAATAATAACAGTGAGATTGAGTCTCTTAAACAACTCCTTCATCAAGAGTTTGAGGTGAAAGATCTGGGTGAGCTACGATACTTCTTGGGTATTGAGGTTGCTAGATCTAAACACGGGATATTTATTTCTCAAAGGAAGTATGTTCTAGATCTATTAGCAGAAACTGGAAAGTTGGGTGTTAAACCTGCAGATACACCCATTGAACAAAATCACAAGATCAGTGCAGAGGGTGGAGAGCCTCTTGAAGACAAAGCTATGTTCCAACGGTTGGTTGGAAAACTCCTCTATCTTTGTCTCACACGACCAGACATCAGTTATGCAGTCAACGTTGTCAGTCAATACATGCATTCTCCTAGAACTACTCACCTTCTTGTAGTTGAGAGAATATTAGCATACTTGAAGAGATGCTCAGGTAGAGGTATATTATTCAAGAATAATGATCACATGAAGATAGAGGTCTATACAGATGTTGATTGGGCTGGGAGTGCTGATGACAGGAGGTCTACCTCTGGATATTGTGCCTTTGTAGGAGGTAACCTTGTCTCCTGGAGGAGTAAGAAACAAAGTGTTGTTTCTCGTTCTAGTGCTGAAGCTGAATATAGATTGATGACTAATGGTGTGTCTGAAATCCTATGGCTGAAGTCATTACTTGAAGAGTTGGGTATTGATTATGAGAAGCCCTTGATGCTGTATTGTGATAATCAGGCTGCTATTAATATAACTCACAATCCGGTACAGCATGACAGAACTAAACATATCGAAGTTGATCGGCATTTTGTCAGAGAAAGGGTTTCATCTCAAGAAGTGTGTTTCCCGTATATCACCTCCAGCATGCAGCTCGCAGATTTTCTCACCAAGGCTGTTCCAAGGAAGAAGTTAGAGGCAAACCTATGCAAGTTGGGAATGACATATTTATTCCCAACTTGAGGGGGAGTGTAGAGAACATTGATGTGGACTCCACGGCTGTGGTCCCCACTGTGTTTGTTTGGCAGCACAGCATGTATTCTTTGTTAGTTGGTAGTTATTTCAGTTTTTGTTGTTACAACTTGTTACTTCAGCTTTATTATTAGTTTATTTGCCATGTAAGCAATAAGGGCAATTCAGCCTTTTTACAATTAGTAAACATATAAATATTAAGAGTGGGTCGGCAGATCAGAACAATTCGACCCTCTCTCACCTTTTTTCTAAAACCCTTCGTGTGCTTCTGCTTTTCTCCCTCTTTTCTTCTTTTCTTCTTCTGGAATCTTTTCGTTTACTTTCGGATTCAAGACTGATTGTAGTCTTGATCGACTACTATATACAATAATGCAAATGAAGGAAGATGTTTGAGCTTATTTTGAACAGTTGCTTATCATATAGCATGGAATTCTTGCTACATGCAAGTGTCTACTCGGTGCTAGAATTCATCATCATCACTTTGGCAAAATCTGTATTTGAATTTTAAATCTGGTATTTGGAAGTGACAGCTACTTTGCTGGTAATGTCTCTGTCATGGAAGAAGTGTAAATGTCTATTTACTAATGCTAGACCTCATCATTCAAGCTCATGTGATTTGCAATTAAAGCATATTACTGGATAGAATTAAATAGGAACCTTGTAGCCCAGCCCAGTGACCAGTCATTGGGACAATGCATTAGATAATGGTTATACCTAAAATTATCCCATTTGTCAAGTTCTGACATTCTATTATAACCCCATGTGAAATTTTTTGCTTCAGTTTTGGAAGATTCTGAGGTGGTTCTGGATTCGTTGAGGCAAGCTTCTGAGGAGCTTGAAGTTTTAGAGGTAAGCTGCTTGGATATCTATCTAGTTTTGATCAAGTGGGTTTTGTACTAAAGATGGTAAAACTGCCAGTCCAAATAGTGGATAGACTTTGTTGATGCTGGAATTTTTATTAGTGTATAAATGTTAATTCTTAATTACTTACGAACTACAAAAGGATAAAATACATCTTAGTTTCCATATGTACATCTGCTTTTTTTATCAGTTTTGTTGCCTAAAACCCTGCATTCAAATAATTGTAGCATGAGCAATTGTTATAAAGTACATAGCATTAAGGTTCCAAATCCACGCATATTGTCAAAACCCATTTGTGTGTGATTCCTGCCGTTACTGGGATGGAGCACATTTAAATTTTGCTCTTTCCAAACTAGCCATCAAAATACCTTTGCTTTTGAATCACAAAAGGTCAATCACCCTGTAGTAGTGTAGTTGAGTTGGTTGCCTCGCGTATCTTTCTTTGAGGCATGAGTTCCATATAATGGCAGACTGCAATATACCAGTTGGCTTCTGGCATTTAGCACCTTGCCCCTGTTGAAGCTAAAGCCACATTCCCAGAATCAAAAAAGCAAAGGAAAAGAATAAAAAAAACAGGATAAATATTACATCATGGATTTAGTCTTGGGATGAAAATTGGGTTAAGTCTTTCTTGGCAAGTTGAAGGATTGGAGCCCAATGGAGTATAGATTGTTCAGATTAGGTATCCGATTTGCACCCCAGGAAGTCTGAGTTGCAAGTGCTGATTGCCATGTTGGTAATTGTAGAACAATCCTACACGAGGGGTAGAAATTCCCAACATATAAGATCCCACATAGGGGGGGTGTGTTTCTCCTGTTGTCAAATCAGAACTTACACCAATTAGCTGACTTGTTCATCGCTATGTGTAGATGGATGGATTCCTTTTCTTTATATTAACGAGAATTTGTCGATCATTTGCATATGAAGTATCTTTTGTTCTTTACATAATGTCTATATGTATCCGTTTTGGTTTTTTGGATAATGATTGTTGATGATACAAACATTGCTGATGTAATGCAGTATCATGAGTTGGCCGCCGAAGCCTTCTATTTGATGGCCCTCATCTTTGACAGACTTGGACAACTAGAAGAAAGGGAAAGTGCTGCATCTTCATTTAAGGATCATGTGATTGCTCTTGAAAATCCAAAGGATGATGAGGGCCTATTGTTGGATAGTTATTCGACATAATGAAACCAACATATTTAACTTATGGAGTTCTTATTGCCTTTCTATTTTTGTTTTTATTTCTTAGTCTCTTTTTTCTTTAATATTTTTATTTTGGTGGTGGGTGGGTATTGCCTAGTTAGAATAAACAAAAAGGTCAAATGAAAAATTGACCCTCGGTATCAAAATCTGTTGTAAGTAATCTTCTGTAATATTGACCTAAAATTGGGATAATGAATTAAATACTCGTTTTGGTAAAGAAGCTTCTATCTTCTCTTTTTGTTTTGTTTAATGGATGTTTTTTTTTAAAACAAGGGCAACTATGGCAATCATTTCCAAGCTTAAATAGCCCCAACTACAATCAACGAAGATTATGGCGTGGAAAGGGGTTGACAGTTGACACTTGACAGCACGAGTAACAAATTTGAAAAGTTTCTAAAATTCGATGAACATGCATCAACAAATGTGCATGTATAGCCGGAAGGAAAATATGAAGTGTAAGGTTCAAATTATTGAAAAGAGGTTCGCAAAAAATTGCAAATTTACTGAAAACAGAACGAGGTATATCATATCATGTAGAGATGGCCACAGAACATTCAGAAATTTTCTAATATAAAAGGATAAATTCGAAAAGCCAGTAGAGATGCCCAAAATATCAGAGATAATCATCCAAAAAGACGTGGCCAAATTCCTCCTCAATCTATGAATAACATTTTAAGGTCAAAATAATAATATAGGTACCCATACAATATTCTGCTAGATATATAAAGTGGAGACATGCAAGATTTACATCAACAGAACACAAACCAACTGTGTGGGCCCCATATTAGTAACATAAAATATGCAAAAAAAAAGACATGCAATCAGAAAAGCTTTTCATTTGGTCGCATAAAAAAATATAAAAGAAAATTTAAATGAAGCAAATAGCACCTGTTTAAAACCTATTTAAAATTACTTACAAGGAAATTATAAAAAAACACACAAGGGTCTTTTGTATAAAGTCCTCTAAATTATGAGTATCCCTTGCCTGCAAAATATTACTGTTGCTAATATCCATCATTAATACAAAGACCGTCTTGAAAATATTACTAGACATCTTAAACTATCTAAAATCTTTACAAAAAGTCTTGCATAGTATGATTAAATCAATTACAAATTGTAGAAGTTTAAGGGTCTTTTGTATAACTTGAAGCCTCCATTAGTCCTGCAGCTTTAGCCTACTCTATGTCTACTATCATTTAAGCTTAAACCCCTTTTTTTATTTTTTATTTTTACATATGAAAAGTATAGTTCCATTAAATATGGCCATATGCCTGCTCCATGCGTTATGCCCAATATTCATCCCTCTAATCAGTTTGGAAGGTTGATAATGCCGTGAAAATATGATATTTGTTGCAATTTTTGGACCCAAAGACAGTTTTTAACATTTTATAGATTACATAGACTCCTAATGAAGCAACCAATGAAAATAGAAATTTAAGAAGCAAAAACAAAGAATCATATCTCAGCAAATCTACCTTTATATGAGTCTCACACAGCATACAAAGGGGAAGTTACTATCATTTACTATCATATCTCTCAACATCCCTTCAAACTCATGATGGTGAAAAATAAACATCTAATGTTTGCAAGAATATACATACACACAGATATATATATAGAGAGAGAGAGAGAGAGTTCAAATCCTTTTTACTTCAAAAGGGCCTTTTATATGGATTACAACCTCTTAGCTATCACGTGTGAAATATAACAGAATGGTTTGATAGTTCAAGCATTTGGCTGGCACGGCTTATCTAATGGGACCTTTGGAGGTCCGTGTGTACGATAAACAGCATATCTATTGGGACCTGTCTTGCTGGTCTCATTTGGGATTCTAAGACATATTAATACATATGGGTTAAAAGACAAACAATTGATCATAATCATAGTCCATAACTAATGAATAGAATAAGCCTACGGCTCCATGGATGAACATTACGAATTCGGATTAGCTTGAATGCTTTAGCTGTTCAGCAGGCTGTGAAACCAATGATGAGGTCCCACGCTAGTAATAAATTCATGTTGATAGTTTGACAAGACATTTTTAGAAAGATTCATAATTAACTTGTAGCATCAAATTTATCTGAAAATTCTTTTATTAATGGGAGATACAAGCTTGTATGGTGTGAGATCCATAACTAATAAGAGAATCAACTTAAGCCCATGTACCTAATACTTGAGTGGGTGTGTAGACCTCTTAAAAGTGAGTAGCCCATATGGCCAATTTTCCCATAGCTGTTATGGGATTTAGTGAATTATCTCAAAAAGCGTCTAAATATTATATACTTGGGACCTTACCATTTTAAAGGCTCAAGTCCAAAAAGCGTCTAAATATTATTTGCAATGGATCTCTCTACTAATAACATTCGACACCACATATAGGGAAGGAATTTTTCCCTCATAATCTTTATGTCATGGTGTCCAACTTTCACCTCTAATGGATTCTTATAGAGGATTCATGCAATTCTACTGTTGGTTGATACATGTATCCATAATAGGAAGTTGTATAGAACATTCTTTATGTCTTAACAGTAGCAAATCCTATCACATTTATCATCAACTGACATACCATCTTTGAATATCCCAACATACCTCGGTATTTGACCCCAATCGGATCTCATTGGTTGGCATATCATAGATATGTCCGATACTCTATATGATACTAATATCAAGTCTAGGGATTAAAAGCAATATCTAGTTGACCACATATCATAAAGTCCATGAACACACTATGTTTGTTCCACTTCAATGTTTCTTGCAAGTACTCATTCTCACACCTTAAGTCACAATCCGAGCAACTGAGACCCACCGTTCTACTACATTGGGCACTGTGAGAATGATAACCATGTTAGGATAGACTCCCCTAATCTATTCATTGGTTGTGAACATCTAAGTCTATATTACAACAGTTTTGTGGCCACATACATAATATTAATATGAACTAAGAGGTGATTTAGAAGAACAAACCCATGACACATGAAATGAATAAACTTTTTTCATAATAAGTTATGTACAATACATCAATTGAAATTGAGGGCCTACACATTAACACATTCTATACATTGCTATTTAATCACACAAAGCACTTTACATTATTGTTCTTTGTTATTTCTATTTATTACTTAAATTTTAGAAGGCATTAGTTGGGGAAGAAACCTTGTAAAACCCAATTCAGCCCCCTCTTAGCTTAGTTGTCGTTATATACACACATACCTGGGTAATAGATCTCACTATTTTTTATTGTGTTGATAGTATCTTAGTTGTCATTATATATCTTAAAGGCTCCTATTGGTGCATTAAGAACTTTGAGTTCTTCTAATACTACAAAGTTGTACGTAATAAACTCAACTTCCATGTAAACTTAGCCATGCAACTTTGTTTCTTTTTTATGCCCATAAGATAGTAGCTCATCCTAACAGGAATAAGTACCTGGTTATAGATTTTCTATCATCTCGGTCACCTACAAAATCAACATCATAATAACCTAGTAACTCCATGTCATTTGCATCACATGATTAACAATATCATCATAACCTGGATTACTTTGATATTTACTTACATGATTAACAACATATGATAGGTTGGGTCTTGTGCAAATCATCACATACATCAATTTTTCATGTTAAATTCCCTTGAGACTTTTTCTAGGTAGGGGTGCAAGTCAGGCAAGTTGGGCTGGGTTTTAGATCAACCCAGGCCTAACCCTAAGAATTGGGCCTAAATTCAACCTAGGCTAGCTTGCACTAAAATTTGATGGACTTGGTTTGGGCTTGAGCCCAGGAGCTTGGGTTAGTCAGTCAGCGCAAGCTAAGAATTGATATACATGTATGTGTATATGTATGTATGTATGTATGTATGTATGTATGTATGTATGTATGTATGTATGTATGTATGTATGTATGTATGTATGATTTATTAAAAATATATGCATATATGCATGCAAAAATATATGCATATATAGATGTATATAATTGGGTTGAGCTTGGATTAGGATAAGGTCAAGCTAGGCTCAAGCCGAGTTCATCCTACCTAAGGACTAGATTTAAGGCTAGCTTGAAAAATAAAAATCCTAAGCTTTTGGTCCTAATCTTGGGACCAACTCGAGGACCAAAAATCCAAACCCAACTTGTATAAAATTGTAGATTGGTTCGGTTTGGTCTTCGGATGGGCCCACTCAAGTTTCCCCCTATTTATAGGTAATGAGTGCTCTTGTGATAGAGTTAAGGTGTGAGTTTTTCTATCTTAATTCCAAGAACATAGCTAACAACACCCCTGTCTTTCATCTTAAAATTGGTTTTTAATCAATCTTTTGTTTCATTAATCATAAACATATCATTACTAATAATAAGAATGTCATCTAAATATAATGAAAGAATAGTAAAACCACCCCAACTATTCAAAGAATAAACACAACGATCAAAGGGATTGGGAATAGATCCAAGTTTTGAGATTGCTTCATGAAAAGTATGACACTACATTTTGGAGGATTGTTTTAAACCATACAATAATTTTTTTTTTTTTTTTAGTTTATATACTTTTCTTCTTGTCTCTCTATTATATAACCTTTGGGTTGAATCATATATATTTCTTCATTTAACTTTCCATTAAAGAAAGTAGATATTACATCTATTTGGCACAATTCTAAATCCAAAAAAGCAACCAAAGACATTATGATTCTAATTGATCTCACCATATCTAATAAAGTTCTATTTCTATGTCCAGTCACTTTGTTCTATTGTGGCATAAAGGATATAGTGAGTCAATGTATTGTTCAATTTTGGGTACAAAAATCATCAAACAGGTTGGATATAGTGAGTCAAAGTATTGTTCCAGTCACCATATCTAACTCTAATTTTTCAAATTATAAATACTTTTAATTTTTTAACATATAATTTATATATAGAATAAAACATATAAATCATTTAAGGTAGACAAAATAAATTACTTTTATAATTTTTATCAAAAGTTTAGAAAAATCAAATCTTACATTATTTATTTCAATTTTTA